TGATGTGTGATCTCCAAGTTCAATTTCTGTAATCCCCAGCTCATGGTAGCTGTCAGCGGTCTTCTAATGATCTTCATCCAATACCCTTTGTCTGATCTTTAGTGCTCGCTGGTGTGACTCAGTGGCTGAGGTGTACTCCTTAAGCAAATATTGGGTAACCCCCAGCTCATTGTAACTGTCGGCGGTGCTCTCATGATCTTCACCCAGTACCTTTTGTCTGATCTTTAGTGCTCGCTTGTGTGACTCAGTGGCTGAAGTGTACTCTTTAAGCATATATTGGGTACGCCCAAGGTTATGGTAACTGTCAGCGGCCATCTTGTGATCTTCACCCAATACCTTTTGTCTGATTTTTAGCGCTTGTTTGTGTGACTCAGTGGCTGCTGTATAATCTCTAAACATATATTGGGTAATACCCAAGTTATGGTGGCTCTGAGCGGTCTTTACATGATTTTCACCCAATACCTTTCGTGTGATGTTTAGTGCTCGCTTGTGTGACTCAGTGGCAGAGGTGTACTCCTTAAGCATATATTGGGTAACCCCGAGCTCATTGTAGCTGTCAGCGGTCTTCTCATGATCCTCACCTAATACCTTCTGTCTGATGTTTAGTGCTCGCTTGTGTAACTCAGTGGCTGAAGTGTAATTCATAAGCATATATTGGGTACACCCTAAGTTATGGTAGCTGTCAGCGGTGTTGTCATGCTCTTCACCCAATACCTTTTGTCTGATCTTTAGTGCTGCCTTGTGTGACTCAGTGGCTGGGATAAGACCTCTTAGCATATAATGGGTAACCCCTAGTTCATGGTAGCTGTCAGCGGTGTTCTCATGATCTTCACCCAATACCTTTTGTCTGATGTTTAGTGCTCGCCTGTGTGACTCAGTGGCTAAGGCGTAATTCTTTAGGATATGTTGGGTACACCCCAAGTTATGGTAGCTGTCAGCGGTGTTCTCATGATCTTCACCCAATACCTTTCGTCTGATCTTTAGTGCTCGCTTGTGTGACTCAGTAGCTGAGCAATAATCTCGAAGCATATATTGGGTACGCCCCAGCTCATTGTAGCTGTCAGCGGTGTTCTCGTGATCCTCACCCAATACCTTTTGTCTGATATTTAGTGCTCGATTGTGTGATTCAGTGGCTGAGGCGTAATTATTAAGCATATATTGGGTACATCCCAAGTTATGGTAGCTATCAGCGGTGTTCTCATGATCTTCAACCAATACCTTTTGTCTGATCTTTAGTGCTCGCGTGTGTAACTCTGTGGCTGAGGTATAATCTCTAAGCAAATATTGCGTAGCTCCTTGGTTATGGTAGCTGTCGGCAGTTTCCTTATGATTTTCACCTAATACTTTTTGTCTGATCTTTAGTGCTCGCTTGTGTGACTGAGTGGCTGAAGTGTACTCCTTAAGCATATATTGGGTAAGCCCTAGCTCATTGTAACTGTCAGCAGTCTTCTCATGATCTTCCCCCAATACCTTTTCTCTGATCTTTAGTGCTCGCTTGTGTAACTGCGTGGCTGAGGTGTACTCCTTAAGCATATAATTAGTAACCCCTAACTCACTGTAGCTGTCGGCGGTGTTCTCATGATCTTCACCTAGTACCTTTTGTCTGATGTTTAGTGCTCGCTTGTGTGACTCAGTGGCTGAGGCGTAATTCTCAAGCATATGTTGGGTACACCCCAGGTGATGGTAGCTGTCAGCGGTCTTCTCATGATCTTCACCCAATACCTTTTGTCTGATGTTTAGTGCTCGCTTGTGTGACTCAGTGGCTGAGGCGTAATTCTTAAGCATATGTTGGGTACACCCTTGGTGATGGTAGCTGTCAGCAGTTTTTTCATGATCTTCACCCATTAACTTCTGTCTGATCTTTAGTGCTCGCTTGTGTGACTCACTGGCTGGAGCGTAATTCTTAAGCATATATTGATTACATCCCAAATTATGGTAATTCTCAGCGGTGTTCTCATGATCTTCACCCAATAACTTTTGTCCGATCTTTAGTGCTGCCTTGTGTGATTCAGTGGCTGAGGTATAATTTCTAAGCATATATTGCGTAACCCCCCAGTTATGGTAGCTCTCGGCAGTTTCCTCATGATCTTCACCCAATACCTCTTGTCTGATCTTTAGTGCTCGCTTATGTAACTCTGCGGCTGAGGCGTAATCCTTAAGCATGTATTGGGTACGCCCCAGTTCATTGTAGCTGTCAGCAGTGTTCTCATGATTTTCACCCAATACCTTTTGTCTGATATTTAGTGCCCGCTCTTGTGACTCTGTGGCTGAAGTGTAATCCTTAAGCATATATCGGGTAGCTCCTAGCTCATTGTAGCTGTCAGCGGTGTTCTCATGATCTTCTCCTAATACCTTTTGTCTGATGTTTAGTGCTCGCTTGTGTGACTCAGTGGCTGAGGTGTAATCCTTAAGCATATATTGGGCACACCCCAGATTATGGTAGCTGTCAGCGGTGTTCTCATGATCTTCACCCAATATCTTTTGTCTGATGTTTAGTGCTCGCTTGTGCGACTCAGTGGCTAAGGTATAGTCTCGGAGCATATATTGCGTAGCCCCCCAGTTATGGTAGCTCTCAGCACTCTTCTCATGATCTTCGCCCAATACCTTTTGTCTGATCTTCAGTGCTCGCTTGTGAGACTCGGTGGCTAAAACGTAATCGTTTAGCATATATTGGTTACACCCCAAGTCATGGTAGCTGTCAGCAGTGTTCTCATGATCTTCACCCAATATCTTTTGTCTGATTTTTAGTCCTCGCTTGTGTGACTCAGTGGCTGAGGTATAATCTCTGATCATATATTGCGCAGCTCCCCGGTTATGGTAGCTCTCAGCAGTTTCCTCATGATCTTCACCGAGTACCTTTTGTCTGATCTTTACTGCTCGCTTGTGTGACTCAGTCGCTGAGGTGAAATCACAAAGCATATATTGGGTACGTCCCAGCTCATTGTAGCTGTCAGCAGTGTTCTCATGATCTTCACCCAATACCTTTTGTCTGATGTTAAGAGCTCGCTTGTGTGACTCAGTGGCTGAGGTGTACTCCTTAAGCATATATTGGGTACGCCCCAGGTTATGGTGGCTGTCAGCGGTCATCTTGTGATCTTCACCCAATACCTTTTGTCTGATGTTTAGTGCTCGCTTGTGTGACTCAATGGCTGAAGTATAGTCTCTAAACAGATATTGCGTAATACCCAAGTTATGGTGGCTCTGGGCGGTCTTTTCATGATCTTCACCCAATACCTTTTGTCTGATATTTAGTGCTCGCTTGTGTGACTCAGTGGCTAAGGTGTTATCCTTCAGCATATATTGGGTAACCCCTAACTCATTGAAGCTATCAGCAGTGTTCTCATGATAGTCACCAAATACCTTTTGCCTAATCCTTAGTGCTCGCTTATGTGACTCAGTGGCTGAGGTATAATCTCTAAGCATATATTGCGTAACCCCCCAGTTATGGTAGCTCTCAGCAGTATCCTCATGATCTCCACCTAAAACCTTTTCTCTGATGGTTAGTGCTCGTTTGTGTGACTTAGTGGCTGAGGTATAATCTCTAAGCATATATTGGGTAAGCCCTAGCTCACTGTAGCTGGCGGCAGTGTTCTCATGATCTTCACCCAATATATTTTGTCTGATCTTTAGAGCTCGCTTGTGTGACTCAATGGCTGAAGTGTACTCCTTAAGCATAAATTGGGTACGCCCCAGCTCATTGTAGCTGTCAGAGGTATTCTCATCATCTTCAACTAATACCTTTTGTCTGATCCATACTGCTCGCTTGTGTGACTCACTGGCTGAGGTGTACTCCTTAAGTATATATTGGGAACACCCCAGGTTATAGTGGCTGTCAGCGGTCATCTCGTGATCTTCACCTAATACCTTTTGTCTGATGTTCAGTGCTCGCTTGTGTGACTCAGTGGCTAAGGTATAATCTTTCAGCATATATTGGGTAATACCCAAGTTACGGTGGCTCTGAGCTGTCTTCTCATGATCTTCACCCAATAACTTTTGTCGGATGTTTAGTGCCCGCTTGTGTGACTCAGTGGCCAAGGTGTACTCCTTAAGCATATATTGGGTAACCCCTAGCTCATTGTAGCTGTCAGCGGTGTTCTCATTATCTTCACCCAATACTTTTTGCCTGATGTTTAGTGCTCGGTTATGTGACTCAGTGGCTAAGACCCAAATCTTAAGCATATATTGGGTACACCCCAAGTTATGGAAGCTGTCAGCGGTATTCTCATGATCTTCACCCAGTACCTCTTGTCTGATTTTTAGTGCTTGCTTGTGTGACTCAGCGGCTGAGGTGTACTCCTTAAGCATATATTGGGTACGCCCCAGGTTATGATGGCTGTCGGCGGTCATCCTGTGATCTTCACCGAATAGCTTTTGTCTGATCTTTAGTGCTCGCTTGTGTGACTCACTGGCTGAGGTATACTCTCTAAGCATATATTGCGTAGCCCCCTGATTATGGTGGCTGTCAGCAGTTTCCTCGTGATCTTCACCCAATACCTTTCGTCTGATCTTTAGTGCTCGCCTGTGTGACTCACTGGCTGAGGTATAATTTCTAAGCATATATTGGGTAATACCCAAGTTATGGTGGCTCTGAGCAGTCTTCTCACGATCTTCACCCAATACCTTTTTTCTGATGTTTAGTGCTCGCTTGTGTGACTCAATGGCTGAGGTGTACTCCTTAAGCATATATTGGGTAACCCCTAGCTCATCGTAGCTGTCAGCGGTCTTTTCATGATTTTCTCCCAATACCTTTTGTCTGATGTTCAGTGATCGCTTGAGTGACTTAGTTGCTAAGGCGTATTCCTTAAGCATATATTGGGTACGCCCCAGCTCATTGTCGCTGTCAGAGGTTTTCTCGTGATCTTCGCCCAATACCTTTTGTCTGATGTTTAATGCTCGCTTGTGTGACTCAATGGCTGAGGTGTAGTCATTAAGCATAAATTGGGTACGCCCCAACTCATTGTAGCTGTCAGCGGTGTTCTCATCATCTTCACTCAACACCTTTTGTCTGATGTTCAGTGCTCGCTTGTGTGACTCAATGGCTGAGGTGTAATCCTTAAGCATATATTGGGTACGTCCCAACTCATTGTAGCTGTCAGTGGTGTTTTCATGATCTTCACCCAGTACCTTTTGTCTGATCTTTAGTGCTTGCTTGTGTGACTCAGTTGCTGAGGTGTACTCCTTAAGCATATATTGGGTACGCCCCAGGTTATGATGGCTGTCGGCGGTCATCCTGTGATCTTCACCGAATAGCTTTTGTCTGATCTTTAGTGCTCGCTTGTGTGACTCACTGGCTGAGGTATACTCTCTAAGCATATACTGCGAAGCCCCCTGATTATGGTGGCTGTCAGCAGTTTCCTCGTGATCTTCACCCAATACCTTTCGTCTGATCTTTAGTGCTCGCCTGTGTGACTCAGCCGCTAAGGTATAATTTCTAAGCATATATTGGGTAATACCCAAGTTATGGTGGCTCTGAGCGGTCTTCTCACGATCTTCACCCAATACCTTTTGTCTGATGTTTAGTGCTCGCTTGTGCGACTGAATGGCTGAGGTGTACTCCTTAAGCATATATTGGGTAACCCCTAGCTCATCGTAGCTGTCAGCGGTCTTTTCATGATCTTCTCCCAATACCTTTTGTCTGACGTTTAGTGCTCGCTTGTGTGACTTAGTTGCTAAGGTGTAATCTTTAAGCTTATATTGGGTACGCCCCAGCTCATTGTCGCTGTCAGAGGTTTTCTCATGATCTTCGCCCAATACCTTTTGTCTGATGTTTAGTGCTCGCTTGTGTGACTCAGTGGCTGAGGTGTAATCCTTAAGCATATATTGGGTACGCCCCAACTCATTGTAGCTGTCAGCGGTGTTCTCATCATCTCCACTCAATACCTTTTGTCTGATGTTCAGTGCTCGCTTGTGTGACTCAATGGCTGAGGTGTAATCTTTAAGCATATATTGGGTACGCCCCAACTCATTGTAGCTGTCAGTGGTGTTTTCATGATCTTCACCCAATACCTTTTTTCTGATCTTTAGTGCTTGCTTGTGTGACTCAGCGGCTGAGGTGTACTCCTTAAGCATATATTGGGTACGCCCCAGGTTATGATGGCTGTCGGCGGTCATCCTGTGATCTTCACCGAATAGCTTTTGTCTGATCTTTAGTGCTCGCTTGTGTGACTCACTGGCTGAGGTATAATCTCTAAGCATATGTTGCGTAGCCCCCTGATTATGGTGGCTGTCAGCAGTTTCCTCGTGATCTTCACCCAATACCTTTCGTCTGATCTTTAGTGCTCGCCTGTGTGACTCAGTGGCTGAGGTATAATTTCTAAGCATATATTGGGTAATACCTAAGTTATGGTGGCTCTGAGCGGTCTTATCACGATCTTCACCCAATACCTTTTGTCTGATGTTTAGTGCTCGCTTGTGCGACTTAATGGCTGAGGTGTACTCCTTAAGCATATATTGGGTAACCCCTAGCTCATCGTAGCTGTCAGCGGTCTTTTCATGATCTTCACCCAATACCTTTTGTCTGACGTTTAGTGCTCGCTTGTGTGACTTAGTTGCTAAGGTGTAATCTTTAAGCTTATATTGGGTACGCCCCAGCTCATTGTCGCTGTCAGAGGTTTTCTCATGATCTTCGCCCAGTACCTTTTGACTGATGTTTAGTGCTCGCTTGTGTGACTCAGTGGCTGAGGTGTAATCCTTAAGCATATATTGGGTACGCCCCAAGTCATTGTAGCTGTCAGCAGTATTCTCATCATCTCCACTCAATACCTTTTGTCTGATGTTCAGTGCTCGCTTGTGTGACTCAATGGCTGAGGTGTAATCTTTAAGCATATATTGGGTACGCCCCAACTCATTGTAGCTGTCAGTGGTGTTTTCATGATCTTCACCCAATACCTTTTGTCTGATCTTTAGTGCTTGCCTGTGTGACTCAGCGGCTGAGGGATACTCCTTAAGCATATATTGGGCACGCCCCAGTTTATGATGGCTGTCGGCGGTCATCCTGTGATCTTCACCGAATAGCTTTTGTCTGATCTTTAGTGCTCGCTTGTGTGACTCACTGGCTGAGGTATACTCTCTAAGCATATATTGCGTAGCCCCCTGATTATGGTGGCTGTCAGCAGTTTCCTCGTGATCTTCACCCAATACCTTTCGTCTGATCTTTAGTGCTCGCCTGTGTGACTCAGTGGCTGAGGTATAATTTCTAAGCATATATTGGGTAATACCTAAGTTATGGTGGCTCTGAGCGGTCTTCTCACGATCTTCACCCAATACCTTTTGTCTGATGTTTAGTGCTCGCTTGTGCGACTTAATGGCTGAGGTGTACTCCTGTAGCATATATTGGGTAACCCCTAGCTCATTGTAGCTGTCAGCGGTCTTTTCATGATCTTCTCCCAATACCTTTTGTCTGACGTTTAGTGCTCGCTTGTGTGACTTAGTTGCTAAGGTGTGATCTTTTAGCATATATTGGGTACGCCCCAGCTCATTGTCGCTGTCAGAGGTTTTCTCATGATCTTCGCCCAATACCTTTTGTCTGATGTTTAGTGCTCGCTTGTGTGACTCAGTGGCTGAGGTGTAATCCTTAAGCATATATTGGGTACGCCCCAACTCATTGTAGCTGTCCGCGGTGTTTTCATCATCTTCACCCAATACCTTTTGTCTAATGTTTAGTGCTCGCTTGTGTGACTCAATGGCTGAGGTGTAATCTTTAAGCATATATTGGGTACGCCCCAACTCAATGTAGCTGTCAGTGGTGTTTTCATGATCTTCACCCAGTACCTTTTGTCTGATCTTTAGTGCTTGCTTGTGTGACTCAGTGGCTGAGGTGTACTCCTTAAGCATATATTGGGTACGCCCCAGGTTATGATGGCTGTCGGCGGTCATCCTGTGATCTTCACCGAATAGCTTTTGTCTGATCTTTAGTGCTCGCTTGTGTGACTCACTGGCTGAAGTATACTCTCTAAGCATATATTGCGTAGCCCCCTGATTATGGTGGCTGTCAGCAGTTTCCTCGTGATCTTCACCCAATACCTTTCGTCTGATCTTTAGTGCTCGCCTGTGTGACTCAGCGGCTAAGGTATAATTTCTAAGCATATATTGGGTAATACCCAAGTTATGGTGGCTCTGAGCGGTCTTCTCACGATCTTCACCCAATACCTTTTGTCTGATGTTTAGTGCTCGCTTGTGCGACTGAATAGCTGAGGTGTACTCCTTAAGCATATATTGGGTAACCCCTAGCTCATAGTAGCTGTCAGCGGTCTTTTCATGATCTTTTCCCAATACCTTTTGTCTGACGTTTAGTGCTCGCTTGTGTGCCTTAGTTGCTAAGGTGTAATCTTTAAGCATATATTGAGCACGCCCCAGCTCATTCTCGCTGTCAGAGGTTTTCTCGTGATCCTCGCCCAATACCTTTTGACTGATGTTTAGTGCTTGCTTGTGTGACTCAATGGCTGAGGTGTAGTCCTTAAGCGTATATTGAGTACACCCCAATTCATTGTGGCTGTCAGCGGTGTTCTCATCATCTTCACCCAATACCTTTTGTCTAATGTTTAGTGCTCGCTTGTGTGACTCAATGGCTGAGGTGTAATCCTTAAGCATAAATTGGGTACGCCCCAACTCATTGTAGCTTTTAGCGGTGTTTTCATGATATTCACCGAATACCTTTTGTCTAATGTTGAGTGCTTGCTTTTGTGACTCAGTGGCTGAGGTGTACTCCTTAAGCATATATTGTGTACGCCCCAAGTTATGGTGGCTGTCGGCGGTCATCCTGTGATCATCACCGAATAGCTTTTGTCTGATCTTTAGTGCTCGCTTGTGTGACTCACTGGCTGAGGTATACTCTCTAAGCATATAGTGCGTAGCCCCCTGATTATGGTGGCTTTCAGCAGTTTTCTCGTGACCTTCACCCAATACCTTTTGTCTTATCTTAAGTGCTCGCCTGTGTGACTCAGTGGCTGAGGTATAATTTCTAAGCATATATTGGGTAATACCCAAGTTATGGTGGCTCTGGGCGGTCTTCTCATGCTCTTCACCCAATATCTTTTTTCTGATGTTTAGTGCTCGCTTGTGTGACTCAATGGCTGAGGTGTACTCCTTAAGCATATATTGGGTAACCCCTAGCTCATCGTAGCTGTCAGCGGTCTTTTCATGATCTTCTCCCAATACCTTTTGTCTGACGTTTAGTGCTCGCTTGTGTGCCTTAGTTGCTAAGGTGTAATCTTTAAGTATATATTGGGTACGCCCCAGCTCATTCTCGCTGTCAGAGGTTTTCTCATGCTCCTCGCCCAATACCTTTTGTCTGATCTTTAGTGCTCGCTTGTGTGACTCAGTGGCTGATGTGTAGTCCTTAAGCATATATTGGGTACGCCCCAAGTCATTGTGGCTGTCAGCGGTGTTCTCATCATCTTCACCCAATACCTTTTGTCTGATGTTTAGTGCTCGCTTGTGTGACTCAATGGCTGAGGTGTAATCCTTAAGCATAAATTGGGTACGCCCCAACTCATTGTAGCTTTCAGCGGTGTTTTCATGATATTCAGTGAATACCTTTTGTCTAATGTTGAGTGCTTGCTTGTGTGACTCAGTGGCTGAGGTGTACTCCTTAAGCATATATTGTGTACGCCCCAGGTTATGGTGGCTGTCAGCGGTGTTTTCATGATCTTCACCCAGTACCTTTTGTCGGATCTTTAGTGCTCGTTTGTGTGACTCAGTGGCTGAGGTATAATCTCTAAGCATGTATTGCGTAGCGCCCTGGTTATGGTAACTCTCACCAGTTTTCTCGTGATCTTCACCCAATACCTTTTGTCTTATCTTAAGTGCTCGCCTGTGTGACTCAGTGGCTGAAGAATAATTTCTAATGATATATTGGGTTATACCAAAATTATGGTGGCTCTGAGCGGTGTTCTCATGATCTTCACCCAATACCTTTTGTCTGATATTTAGTGCTCGCTTGTGTGACTCAATGGCTGAGGTGTACTCCTTAAGTATATATTGGGTAACTCCGAGCTCATTGTAGCTGTCAGCGGTCTTCTCATGATTTTCTCCCAATACCTCCTGTCTGATGTTTAGTGCTACCTTGTGTGACTCAGTGGCTGAGGTGTAATCACTAAGCATATATTGGGTACGCCCCAGCTCATTGTAGCTGTCAGCGGTTTTCTCATGATCTTCCCCCAATACGTTTTGTCTGATGTTAAGCGCTCGCTTGTGTGACTTAGTGGCTGAGGTGTACTCCTTAAGGATATATTGAGTGAGCCCCAACTCATTGTAGCTGTCAGCAGTTTTCTCATGATCTTCACCTAATAACGTTTGCCTGATGTTTAGTGCTCGCTTGTGTGACTCAGTGGCTGAGGTGTGGTTCTTTAGCATATATTGTGTACGCCCCAGCTCATGGTAGCTGTCAGCGGTCTTCTCATGATCTTCACCCAATACCTTTTGTTTGATCTTTAGCGCTCGCTTGTGTGACTCAGTGGCTGAGGTGCAATCCTTAAGCATATATTGGGTACGCCCCAGCTCATGGTAGCTGTCAGCAGTCTTCTCATGATCTTCACTTAAAACCTTTTGTCTGATGGTTAATGCCCGCTTGTGCGCCTCAGTGGCTGAGGTGTACTTCTTAAGCATATATTGGGTACACCCCAAGTTATGGTGGCTCTGAGCTGTCTTCTCATGATCTTCACTCAATACCTTTTGTCTGATCTTTAGTGCTTGCTTGTGTGACTCAATGGCTGAGGTGTACTTCTTAAGCGTATATTGGGTAAGCCCTAGCTCATTGTAGCTGTTAGCGGTGTTCTCATGATCTTCACCCAATACTTTTCGCCTGATGTTAAGAGCTCGCTGGTGTGACTCAGAGGCTGACGTGTTTTCCTTAAGCATACAGTGGGTACGTCCCAGCTCACTGTAGCTGTCAGCCGTGTTCTCATGATCTTCGCCCAATACCTTTTGTCTGATGTTTAGTGCTCGCTTGTGCGACTCAATGGCTGAGGTGTACTCCTTAAGCATATATTGCGTACGCCCCAGCTCATGGTAGCTGTTAGCGTTGTTTTCATGACCTTCACTCAATATCGTTTGTCTTATGTTTAGTGCTCGCTTGTGTGAATCAGTGGCTGAGGTGTACTCCTTAAGCATATATTGGGCACGTCCGAGGTTATGGTGGCTGTCGGCAGTCGTCTTGTGATCTTCACCCAATACCTTTTGTCTGATCTCTAGTGCTCGCGTGTGTGACTCAGTGGCTGAGGTGTAATCCTTAAGCATATATTGGGTACGCCCCAACTCATTGTAGCTGTCAGCGGTCTTCTCATGATCTTCACTCAACACCTTTTGTCTGATGTTTAGTGCTCGCTTGTGTGACTCAGTGGCTGAGGTGTACTTCGAAAGGATATATTGGGTACGCCCCAAATGATGGTGGCTGTCAGCGGTTATCTTGTGATCTTCACCCAATACCTTTTGTCTGATGTTTAGTGCTCGCTTGTGTGACTCAGAGGCTGAGGCGTAATTCTTAAGCAAATATTGGGTACACCCTAAGTTATGGTAGCTGTCAGCCGTCTTTTCATGATCTTCACCCAATACCCTTTGTCTGATCTTTAGTGCTCGCTTGTGTGACTCGATGGCTGGGGTGTACTCCTTAAGCGTATATTGGGTAAGCCCTAGCTCATCGTAGCTGTCAGCGGTCTTCTCATGATCTTCACCCAATACCCTTTGTCTGATCTTTAGTGCTCGCTTGTGTGACTCGATGGCTGGGGTGTACTCCTTAAGCATATATTGGGTACGTCCCACCTCATGGTAGCTGTCACTGGTCTTCTCATGATCTTCTCCCAATACTTTTCGTCTGATGTTAAGTGCTTGCTTGTGTGACTCAGAGGCTGACGCGTTATCCTTAAGCATACATTGGGCAACCCCTAACTCACTGTAGCTGTCAGCGGTGTTCTCATGACCTTCACCCAATACCTTTTGTCAGATGTTTAGTGCTCGTTTGTGTGACTCAGTGGCAGAGGTGTACTCCTTAAGCATATATTGGGTACGTCCCACCTCATGGTAGCTGTCAGCGGTGTTCTCATGACCTTCACCCAATACCTTTTGTCTGATGTTTAGTGCTCGCTTGTGTGACTCAGTGGCAGAGGTGTACTCCTTAAGCATATATTGGGTACGTCCCACCTCACGGTAGCTGTCAGCGGTGTTCTCATGATTTTCACGTAGTATCTTTTTTCTGATATTTAGTGCTCGCTTGTGTGACTCAGCGGCTGAGGCGTACTCCTTAAGTATATATTGGGTACGCCCCAGGTTATGATGGCTGTCGGCGGTTATTTTGTGATCTTCACCCAATAGCTTTTGTGAAATATTTAGTGCTAGCTTATGTGACTCAGTGGCTGAGGTGTACTCCTTAAGCATATATTGGGTACGCCCTAGCTCATTGTAGCTGTCAGCTGTCTTCTCATGATCTTCACCCAATACCTTTTGTCTGATGTTGAGTGCTCGCTTGTGTGACTCAGAGGCTGAGGCGTAATTCTTAAGCATATATAGGGTACACGCTAAGTTATGGTTGCTGTCAGCGGTCTTCTCATGACCTTCACCTAATACCTTTTGTCTGATATTTAGTGCTCGCTCGTGTGACTCAGAGGCTGAGGTATAATCTCTAAGCATATTTTGGGTAATACCCAAGTTATGGTGGCTCTGAGCGGTCTTTTCATGATCTTTACCCAATACCTTCTGTCGTATATTTAGTGCTCGCGTGTGTGACTCAGTGGCTGAGGTGTTATCTCCAAGCATATATTGGGTAACCCCTAACTCATTGTAGCTGTCAGCAGTGTTCTCATGATCTTCACCCAATACCTTTTGTCTGATGTTTAGTGCTCGCTTGTGTGACTCAGTGGCTGAGGTGTAATCTCCAAGCATATATTGGGTAACCCCTAGCTCATTGTAGCTGTTAGCGGCGTTCTCGTGATCTTCACCTAGCACTTTTTGCCTGATGTTGAGTGCTCGCTTGTGTGACTCAGTGGCTGAGGTGCAATCCTTAAGCATGTGTTGGGTACGCCCCAGTTCATTGTAGCTGTCAGCGGTGTTCTCATTATCTTCACCCAATACCTTTTGTCTTATCTGTAATGCTCGCTTGTGTGACTCACTTGCTGAGGTGTACTCCTTAAGCATATATTGGGTACGCCCCAGGTTATGGTGGCTGTCAGCGGTCGTCTTGTGATCTTCGCTCAATACCTTTTGTCTGATCCTTAGTGCTCGTTTGTGTGACTCAGCGGCTGAGGTATAATCTCTAAGCATATATTGGGTAATACCCAAGTTATGGTGGCTCTGAGCGGTCTTCTCATGATCTTCACCCAATACCTTTTGTCGGATGTTTAGTGCTCGCTTGTATGACTCAATGGCTGAGGTGTAATCCTTAATCATATATTGGGTAACCCCTAGCTCACTGTAGCTGTCAGCGGTGTTCTCATGATCTTTACCCAATACCGTTTGTCTGATGTTTAGTGCTTGCTTGTGTGACTCAGTGGCTGAGGTGTTATCTTTAAGCATATATTGGGTAAGCTCTCCCTCTTTTGTGGCTGCAATCACAACGGTTTAATTAATCTTTGATAAAACATAGCAGATTGGAGGCCTCTTTGTTTGTTCTATTTCTACAGATTTAATAATTCAACCTCTGGCACAATTCAATCAACCCCTGCGTTATTCAGCAGAAAAAATGAATATGAGATCCGGAAGATCTATTTTCACAGGTCAGCCTCGTTTTCGAACTGATAAACGGCATTGAAATGAATGAATTAAGTTTAGCAGTATTTCTACCTCAGAAAAATATAATTATATAAAATATTGAGAAATGAAATTTGAGTAGTTTTCCATGCAGCCTATTTTTGCCTCGTCACGTAACTTGTTTTTTCAGAGAGAACGCATTGTGTGTCGATTACTTACAAGACTATTCAACGACTGTGAAGGACACCAAATTGTCAGTAGCGCTAAAAGAAAGGTACTAAGCATCACCAAATCACTCGGTGAAACCCGATGAATGCGCGGTTCAAGTTCTGGTCAAATCAGAATCACAGAAGATTTCGTTTTAATTTGCTTTTCACCTGAACTTTGCGGCTCCTTTAGAATTTCTTTTATCTCTTGGCTAAACTCGTTCATCTTCTTAACGATTGCCTCTTTCAGGTTCTCAGTGTCATCTTTTTGCGATTCCTGTAGACGATGTAGTTCTACTTTAACACATTCTCTGACAGTTCTGCTTTCAATTTGAAGCTCGGCAAACTTAGTTTCAATCGTGCCTTGGGTAGTGGCATTTGCAGACTCGATTGTCTTCTTTAGCTCTTCAATACCTTCCTGCTGAGATTTCTGTAAGAGATGCAAGTCATCAATAACTTCTTCTTCGAGGAATTCGTTTCTTTTTAGAAGCTCTTTTCTAGCAGCATCTTCTAACTTCCGAACTTTCTCGGTGGGAAAGTCAGATTCAGTCAAACTTCCAACAGCGTCAATAGGTTTAGTATCAACTCCAAGGGCTTTAATCGCGTCTTTAGCGAGTTGAACGTACCGATCAAACACTATTTTGTCCAATTCGGATTTATTTAAATGACAGAGCGAATTTCTCAACAAACGAAGCTGATCGATCGCCAGTGCAAAGGTTTCTGCGTCATCTCCAGTCGGACTAACTACAGAAGAATGGAAAATACCGCGTGGTAATTTACGGGACCTCAAGTACAAATCATGAAGTATCCTGTGATGGCCTTTGCTATCTGGCAAAGCAAAGGACCGCGCATAGATGGTGGCCTGGAACAAGACTGTGCAATCCCATTCATCATAGGAAAGATGTGTGGGGACTTTGGATGCTCCACCTTCAGTACTTAAGAACAAGTTACGTACAGCATGAGAGTCGTCCCAAGACTGAAAACCAGGAAGTGACGCAAAAGTGTTGTTCCACATCTGTTTAAAAGTTTGTCGTAATGCTTTAGGAATTTCATTCAGTACGATGCAAGCAAACTTGAAATAATTCAACTGTTCATTCGTAAATGGTTGTAAGGCCATTCTACTCAACGACCGGGTGTCGCGGAATCTGAGAAATAACCAAACAAACAAACAAATTAAAATAGCTGAAAGTTATTTCCACGGATGGGTTCTCTTAGCAAACGTTTCTTTTCGATTTGTGAAAGAAGGGTCATTTTTAATCAACGCCTTTCGTTAATAATTACTGTCCGTTCATCATAGTTACTTTTAGTTCGTTTTGCGGATAGATCTATCATTGAGTAGGGTTGCAGGATAGCTAAGGACGAAACGAGACCAATCAAAAGAAGTTCTTTAATGCAAGATGCTCTAGAATTCAGTAAGAAATAAATTTGGTCATAAAGCACAAATCATGGTGAATTCCAATATCACGCATATGTTGGAAAACAACACCAGCTTCGACCAAAATACGCCATTGTAATGCATTAAGAGAGAGTATATATAAAAGCGGTCCGGTCGATCTAGCTTGAAGCATTGGAGGTTGATTTTACGAAAAATGTAGCGCCCTTTATAAAAAAAACACCAAAACCGGTTAAACTGCATATGTAAATTTCAGCTCGGTCTGAATATCTCAAGAAAGCTAAATAAAATGTTATTCGACGCATTTGTGGTATTTTTTTTGCCTTCATGGCCCATTTGAAACAAATATGTGCCTATTGCACCCAGGCCCTTACCATATCGAGCTAATTCAGCCAACAAATCCTCGAATCATTCTAGTAATATTGTGATTCCTCTTAACCACGCGGCGAGATTTAATTTCCCCAGGTGTCATGTTTAAACACAGGCAGACAACCCTGTGGGTTTGATGCCGCGTGACGTCAGTTATTTCATACGCTATTTTAACTCTTACATTGTTTGTAATTTGCAATGGTCGATCTCGGCAAGACGCAAGTAATCTCGAGAAATGTTTCATAAATTCCGCAAATCGCAACATTTCATCCCCAAAATCCGCTTAATGACAGTCAGATAAATAAAGTTCACTTAGCTTCGTTTTTCTGTGCTGTCGCGAAAAAAAAATACTAGGCGTGTAACTTCCAGGACCGTCTGGGCCGAAAGCCTCCTGAACCTCGCCGAATTTCTTCCGATTCCAAATATCGCTCATCTCCCAGTTTCGGGCATGTTAAAAGTCGATTTCACCCGACCCTCCCCACGCCAGGGGCTGGTTTGTACCGTCTTTCGACCGCCAGGGTCGGGTGAAATCTGAACTCAGTTAGTGATTAACTGAATTTTAATACGGTCAATCGAAGGCTTATGATCGACCTCTTCTGTCCACATCATGTGTCGACGGCAGATGATAAGCGAATGTCGGAAATCGAGCAGGCTTATGAGGTGGTTAGAGGTGGACAACTGCACTGATTTTTGGCTTAGCTCTTACACGTTCATCGAATTTAAACGTGCCCGAAGCTGGGAGGTGAGCGGCATTTGGAAGCGGAAGAAATTCGGCGAAGTTCTGGAGGCTTTCGGCCGAGACGGTCCTGGAAGTTGCACGCCTTGTGTTTTCCCTTTGCCTTCGGAGGGGCATCAGTGCAAAGTGGGGAATTAACCGTCCTAAAACCCCGCAAAATCACTCGAGACAACACAGAAAAACGAAGCTAAGTGAACTTTATTTATCTGACTGTCATTAAGCGGATTTTGGGAATGAAATGTTACGATTTGCCGAATCTGTGAAACATTTCACGGGATCACTTGCGCCTGGCCGAGATCAACCGTTGCAAATTACAAACAATATAAGAGTTAAAATAGCGTATCAAATAAGTGACGTCACGCGGCCTCAAACCCACAGGGTTGTCTGCTTGTGGTTAAAAACGTCCTTTGTGAACAATTTATCGAATGCACGTATTTCAATGTTATGTTTTATACGTGCATGCTACTTGAAATAAATAAAAAAGCCAGTATGTTGCATATAAGTTAAACATCTTCCGCTTCTTCGTCTTTTCTATATTGAACATACATGTGCCTTGTGCATCATCGATATATACACATAATACACGCAGATATTTTGCGAGTTTCGAAATATTTTTCTTAGCCTCGGATGGGGCGAGGAAAAATACGAGCAATGAAGAAAATATTTCGTATCGTATTTTATGTTAATCGAATAAGGTGTATGTATCTAACATGTGTTGGGAAAAGCGGAAGGTCCTATCGTTTCAGCTTTACCGACCATCTTTTATTTTCATGATTATAGCTTTGGTTCTATCAGACATAATTAACTTATACACGACATCTTTGCTTTCGCTTAGCTTTTGCATACGCGTATGAAATTTAACATCGAAATACGCGCTTTCGACACTTGATCCACAAAAGACCTTCATATTGGGCTGTTTTAAGCCAACGAAGAACAATTTCTCAAATCATTCCAATAATATTATGATTCCGCTTAGCCACGCGACAGGATTGTGTAGAATTTAAAGTAATACAGCGTGATCAGATATTTTCACATACCTCTCGTATTGCAGTTACTTTGAATTCTTTTGAAAAACGAAGAGTCTTGTATATCATCGATTAGATGGCACAATTTAGAACTTCAGCCAAGCTGAATGGTACTTTCGATCTATATTCTTGTTCCTTTGTACCTGTGCTGTCTAATTATGTCCGCTCATTAACTCTGGTGGCGTGATGATTGTAAAAAAGACTTAAAGGCCCATTTTCACCCTTGATGCAACGCGCGCCTCTGCCCAATTTCCTGTGACACGAAATTCCCAGATTACTTTCTCAAGAGCCATCCAGGACATAAAGTCAATTGTTTCACAGTAAATACATTCGCTGTTTGTCATTTTACAGTTTCCTTACAGTATTTTAAATTTTGTCTGGTAGGATCTGAAGAAAATTTTTTTAGGTGTCACGCTTGTATCTCTTCGTCCTCTGTGAGCAGAGTCGGCGAAAAGGACAACGTTCGAATTTTTTTCACTTTCTAGAAGCGCTTGAGGATTCTAAATAAAGATAAAATATTTTTCAATAGAAATTGGATTTTTTTTCAAAGAGAAATATGGAAAAATGTCAGACTGCCGGACGTTTAGTTATTCGAAGATCGCGTCCGGTAGTGTCTGGTGAAAATTTTCTTAGAGTCACGCTAGGATCTCTTCGTACTGAATGAAGGTAGAACATTTTCGTATAAATAATATACGGATTTCGAAGAGAAATATGGAAAAATATCGGACTGCCGGACGTTTAATCATTTTAAGTTTAGTCTCTTCATTGCGTGAACGTTAGCGATACAGTTTGCGCTACAATTCTTATTTGCTGCTTTGCATGGACAACAACCTCGACCACTCTTTCGGGCGCAAGTTCCTCTCCACAGGCAGGAAACTTCAACTGACCCTTGGTCCTATTAACAAGGATGGCAAACTTCAATTTAAAAAAAATTAATGTACGAATGAAAACATGGTGGATCAATATTTGCACCTCCCTCAGAATGCCCGCGAGGATTTTCGTGTTCCTCTTTAGCAACAACCAATTCATAAGTGTTTTCTGACTCGGAATCTACCATATCAATGGATTCGTCTGATTCCGTACCGGATTAAAACGATAGAACTGTTTTAAACAGAATTATTTTTACAAGTTCACCAAACTCATCGGAGAAAACGCAGAAGCTATTTTGAGACAACGTGACAAGGTAAAAATAACTGACCAATCAGAGGCGCTATTTAAACAAAAGCGGTGGTTCCAAACAAAAACAAACGACCGCGTTGCATCAAGGTTGGAAATGGGCCTTTATTGAGTCTGTCCACGAGAGGACCGGGCATAGCACATGCTATCTCACCGATTTCTTTCAAACTTTCACAGTTTACCTCCTAAGAGTGGTCGTAAATATTCCAAGCCAAACTCTTATATTTTCCCCAGGACGCAGGCGGTGTGCGCACTCTGATTGTGTTGCATCATTGTCGTAACACAAAAAGTGAGTCATTTGCATCCTGTCGCGTTCGAGTGAACATGCTTGGTGGCAGCGACGTAGCGTGAATATAAGTGGAAAGTAATGAGGATTCACTCTCTGTTGCCGTTCCTTCGAAAGTTAAAAAGTGTTTACAGGCCTGCGCGACTCCTGTTATTCCTCCGTGACGAATTCGCTCTTACGGAGGTAACTGACGAGATTCAGAGAGAATCTAAATTGCAGTCTTCCCTAAGAATCTACACAAATGGCAGCAGTTACACTCACAGCCGATGGCTGTGTGAATAAAAACAAATTCAGAAAGTACATTTCTAGACGCGTTATATAGTTTATACGCATTACAAAGAGACAGAGACCTTCTGATACACGAACTTTTTTTCGTATCATCCAGCTGGCGAATTCGTCACTCCACGTCTAATAGAAAACGTATGGAGTTTCATAATACGCTTTAAGAAAAGAGGATACCTATATGAAGGTTTTGAGAAACGTATCTCCGGAGTTATTTTCTGTGGGACACAAAGTATACTACTAAACAATTAGCGCACACAGAAGAAATTTATATTGCCTTTTTGCCAAATCCCAAGAACATAAAAACAATTTCTTAAATCATTCCAGTAATATTGTGATTCCGCTCAGCCACGCGGCGGGATTGTGTAGCATTTGAAGTTATACAGCTTGATCAGATATTTTCACATACTTCTCGTATTGTAGTTACTTTGAATTCCTTTGAAAACCGAGGAGTCGTATATCATCGATTAGATGGCACAATTTAGAACTTAATCCGAGCTGAATGGTACTTACGATCTGTTTTCTTGTTCCTTTGTACCCTTGCTGTCTAAAGCGAAAATTAATTTTTGAAAATATTCAGGGGGTGTACAAAGTATTTGGAAGTTGTTCTGTAAAAAGAAAGCGGAAAGGAAACAACGCTTAGAAGCAACAGAATAGAAAATAGAACGTGCAAACGACTCAAAATCCGTTTTCCGCGCCAAAGCCTAGCGCAAGCCAAGACGTTATTCAACTCTGTCTGAAGGCAGAGGAGGATGCCCTTACTCCGCAGAGTTTTCTCCTCTTTACTACTGTAAGAGGTAAAACTATCCATGGGTTGGTGTGGAGGGAATCGAGAAGCACATAGAGAACG